ATACTTAATCGCATTACATTACATAAAGATATGGCTGCGATATATATAAAAAAAAAGAATTGGCAATTGAGAATTAATTTATAATTTTATATTTTATGAGAACTATGTCCACCGAACAAAATGTATTATTTAATACATAAACTGATTTCTATAGGATAAATATTTTATGAGTAAGTATAAAAAAAATGTGTTGTTCCATTGGCAAACATATTAACGTTAGCACTATGAATTATAGTTTTAGCAAAATTTCTTTTTTTTTAAATCAACAATAATAAATAATAATTATCAGTCTGCTCACAGTTGTACTTGAAAATAACCTCTGTGTAAGTAAAAAACGGTTATTGTTAAAAAATAATTCACAACGGATATAACTTGCAAATCTACAATGGGTTAATTTTTTGCCAAATCAATAAACAATTTATTTGAAGTTAGTAGATCAAGTTTTCGTTAGATTTACTTGGGAATTTTGTTCAGTGCATACCTTAGCCCAACCAAACACATGTGTTAACATTTTTTTTTTTTTTACAGACAATAAATTCCATTAACACGTGTGAATAACGGTCTGAATGTTATTAATTAAAATTTGAAGGAAAAAAATGGTCTTAATAACTAAAATATTAGTTAGCCCAAAGTAACCACCAAAGTATTTTTTCTTTCTACATATTTTGAGGTTTTGTGGAAAAATAATTTATGGAAACAATATGTTTTTTGATATTATACTTTGACGGTAAAATTAAAAAATAAAACCTTAAAACCCCAACAAGTACGCCAAATAGGTCACACGCTAAATGGGAGTCCACAAAAAAATATTGAAATGATCCTAACATTTTGTACAAACTCAGTTTGTTTTGCAACTAAAATAGTTTCTAAATTATTTCCAATTTTCAATATGTCAATGTTATAGATATATGATTGAACTATAATTATATCCTCTATTTGTGGCTACAGGGTTGGTTTTTCAGCTCCTCGTCGAAAATATAAATTGTAACAGTTGTTATAAAAAAATACTATGACTTTTCAAAATATTAAAACGATCGTTGATAATTACTTGTGTTGCTGTTCAATTCAGCTATAAAATCCTAAACAGTATTCCGGATGAGTGACAGAAAGCCTAAGGTTATATAATACATTATAATAGTATATTTTCAATACCATTATAAAATAAGATTGCGCCAAATAGGGGAGGTTAGGTTTGAGTTTATCGTTTAGCCGTATTTAATAGCAGTGTGTTGTCAGTCGAGTGGGATCGATGCGTTTTTAAGTCCATCTGACAATATTAACGTTATACACAGTAATCTCGGTGAAGAGCTTGAAAAAAACCAATAAGCCGACCAACGCGTTCAATGAGTATACAGAACAATAATAAAATACTTGCACACACACACACATTTAAAATATAATTTTGGCTAGTTGAAAAATAATACACAACAGACATTGTATTTAAACAGCATAATACAAATTTGTATAAGTATGACAAGCTTAAAAAAAATGTTTAAACGTAATTGTAAGATTTCTGAATTTTCAAATCAAAATAAATAATTTTTTTCTTAAACAAAAGACAGTAAAAAAAGTGCATTTGTTATTGGTAAACACCGAAACTGCAGTCTAGACGTCAAGAATTTACTATTAAACTTGGAAAAAAGTTATAAACACTTTGAAAAAATTAATAGTTATAATAATTTATTCCAATTGACTTTGGTTGTTAAATGTTTGTGTGGTGGTTTCCCAATTTCACTTGGTCCATATTGTTATTAAATTTTAGTTTGACAAATTTAGGTTTAACAAAATATAGTACATAGACTTTTATTTTTTTTGAAAACTTATTTAAAATATAACTTGTTTTTTTAAGCAGGATTGTAAACTCAACACTAATTTATTTTTTAAAATTATTTTAAATATATGTATCACTATTAAGGTAGCATTATTTTTATTTATCTCTATTTTTAAGCAATCGATTCAAAAAGAGTGAAAATTTAGGGTTAAAAATGTGTTTTTATGACATACAAATTTAAAGCTCTGTTGTGGATGAACTATATCAGTTAAAGTTCTGAAACTCTTCACTGCACTTCTAAATGTCAAGATGATTCTAATAAGACCCTAAATAACGGAATCCGGTTATTTTTAATGTATATTTTGTATCTGCTAGATACAAGCTCTTACCAATGAACTTAAAACTCAATTATCTATGTTTTATATAGTTAATAAGAAAAATACATCTATCTTGTCACTACTATTAGTGTGTAGGCATTTTGTTGTTTTTTCCTATTCAAAATTTAAGCTCTTAAAACTTAAAACATTAAATGCGTTTATTTCATGTCGATCACCATACTTTTAAATCAAGAAAGTAAAAAGTAATTTTTGTAAAACCTATGAATTCAAAACCGATTCAATTATGCAATGGATTTATTGCTATATAAAAAAAACCCTATCAATGTGTACATTTTACCAGCTAGGTGGTTTAAACATTTTCATTTAAAATAAAATCTAACGTTTTTGTGTTTGATTATTCATTTTTTTATTTCAATTTACTCGCTTTGATGCAATAGCGCTTTGACCGGATGTGTGTACAAACTATATACATATATTATGTATTATGTGTGTGATCTTTTATGTTATATTATTTTTATCACAAAACGATGATTGACATTATTGTGTAATGCCATCGGAATGGATTTATCGACGACTTAATATGAGAAAAAAAAAGCAACAGCAATAAAATTTAACTTGTCGGCCGTCTTTTATCGTATGATCGCTGATAATAGTTAATATTATTGGCCGGGGTCGAGTTAAGACGGTAATAATTTATACACGTTTCTAATCTCGGTCGATAATATTATTCAATTTTTGTATTTTGTATTTAATTAATTATTAATTTATATTGCCTGCGATGAGGTGTTGTGTCAACAGCGCACCTAATACATGTGATAATAATATTACTACTAAAGTTCAAAGATATTTTTGTAATACTTGATAAAATATCAACATCATCGTTTAGATAAAAGTATAATAATATTATACATAACACGTTTGGTCCGTAACTGCGCAGAATAAAAAAAACAAGCCAAAATATATACTATTTTTTTGTTAAATACTTTATCAAAATGATTTTTGATGTTCATAGCTTTTTTTATAATTTTTAACCATTGAGATGGAAATAATAGTTATTATAAAGGCTAAATTATTATTATTAATTACAATCGTGACTTATTCTATAATTGCTGGCTTCCTCATTTAAATATAATATGTAAATCTTAAAACCCTTATTTGTTAGTTTCTTGTATGTTTATTGTTAAAAAAGCAATTTTTAAAAAAAGGCTAAATTGCAATTTTATTACACCCATTTCAAAGTTTATGTAAATGTGTATTGTTGTAAATGATTAACTTTCCCTAAAGCTATTAAACTTGCAACGAAACAGATGCATTTCTGAATGCGTTCAAATCTCCAAGTAATTTTATAGAATTATATTTTATAAGATACTTTCCCGATTAGACAGGCTATGACTACTAAGTCGTAAGGAAAACTAATAATACTTGGGATACATTTTACTGAAAACCTGCGACATGTAACGTTTAATGTATATTTTGTAACTACATAAAACGTCACAGTTTCGGATTTTTTGTCAAATACTATACTATTTAATGAATTTAAAAAAGAAAAATAATTTTACATATCATTATACACTAACCAACTATCAATTCAGTTCCCGGTTGATTTGCATAAGTTTCAATGTGTTATTTTTTATTTATATAATTTTGTCAATGAGTTAAAGCCATTTTGGTTTATTTTTGACACAAAAGCCTGTCAAGATTTCAATTTTTGCAAAGAGATTCAAATTTGTCCACTACGTTACTGGATTATGTTACTGGGAAACCGATTTTCATTTTAAAAACCTGAGTTTCTTGTAATATTAAATAAAATAAATTTGACAATTTTTCAATACTAAAAAACATTTTTTTTTTACATAAAAAAGCAATAAATCCATTTCCCACGTGACTCGGTAAAGTAACCAAAGCACTTGTTTCTCTACACGGCAATGCCATCCTAAGTAGTCAACATTTTGACAGGCTTTTTTGGTTTTTGTCAAGACCTCAAAAACAAACACACCGCTTTCAATCCACTAAGGAGGACGTGATACCATATATATTTATTAAGGAGTTAGGTATAAGCAATTTATTGTAAAATATTAATTTTAAAGGTTAATCCTTTCTTCGTTTATTTAACAAAATGTTCTAAATTTGTTAATACATTTTAATTTTTTTATGCGTATATTTGACGTTATTTATTAATTTCATTTTTCTTTTATAATATTTTTTTTTACAGAGCTTAAGGTCAATTTTATAAGTTAATATTTTTAATTGGGAGTATTTTTTCTATTTGTATTTATTAATAAAAAAAAATGTAATTCATCTATTTTATATTTGGATAAAATTGTATTTATTTTTATCCAAAAAAAGTTTAGAATCTAATATCTTTTCTAGATATGATTTCGATTAACAAATTGATATCTTTATTCACGTAAAACTGTAATATCTTACCTATATAACATTTTGATTAATAATTAATGTAATTTATCTGTTTGTAGTTAGATTATCTTTTCTAGATACAATTTATATTAATAATCTATTACCATTTTTAGGTACAATTTTGATAAATAATCTAATATCTTTTCTAGATACAATTTAGATTAAAAATTTTAAAATCTTTATCCAGATAAAATTTGAATTAAAAATTTAATTTCCCATGTATATAACATTTTGACTAATAATCTAATATCTTATCTAGATAAAATGTCGATTAATAATCTAATATCTTATTTAACTATGTACAATCTTGATTAATAACCTAACATCTTCTCCAAATAGAATTGTCTGGTTATGCTATTTTCCCAACACTGAACTAGTGGTTTTTAGATTGCCAAAAACGTGTGTTATCAATAACTGAGTAAGGCAACAGCGTTTTGGAGAGACGACAAAAATATCATGGCATATCCCCGACTGACCTTTGAGTGTAACGCGTAATCCATGCAATCGCCGTACGCCGATCCGTTTTCGCTCTTGATCGACGGAGGACCGTTGGCGGCACACACTTCGGCCGCGGCGGATTCCCTCGGATACCACGGGTACATGATCCGAGGGCTATCAACGCATAGCTACACAGGCTCGTCTGTTGATTAGTAATTATTATATTGTCAAAAATCAAGCTGTAACACGAAATGATTGAATTTTTTTTTTTTTTAAATAGACGACAAAAGGCGACGGCGGTGGCGGTTCGTTCTCGACGTTTCTCGTTGTCGTGTTCACCAACAAACAGACGAAAAAAAAATTATAATAAGAAACCGCTATTTCGAAGACGACCAAGACGAAGACGGCGACGGTACAGATCAACACACGCGCGGTCGAGTGTGTAGCGCGCGCCAAAATCACGTGGGGGTTAGTAAGAACGGTTCAACGGCGGTGTGTAACGCGCGCGAGGAGCACCACTGTACCGGCGCTGCTGTTCTCACTGGGCTTGTGGGGCTTTAGGCGGCATCCGGCCACCGCCGTCGACACCGGCACGCTCTGTATATAAGTATATACAAGTTACACACAACTCAAGTATAGACTATAATTATAAACAAGTATTACTTACCAAACGACGGTCGGTTACACCCGGCGGGCGGGGGGCGTATTTCCGCAGACACTGTCTCTCCACCACTCCGAGCGCCGCTGCTCCTCCGACCAAAGACGTCGGATGTGGACAAAATAAAAAGATTAAAAAGTTAAACCCAAAAAAAGCTTCTACAGTGGGGTCGGGGCATAGTGGTCCCCAGGACAGGTCACGCAGGTCTACAGGAATTATCACAACCGAAAGTGGTAAAATCACTTCTGATTAAAAGCGACCTAAAAACTGAAAATTTCACATGTCATAGACCCATTCTAGATGTACCTTTGGTTTAATTTTCATACTTACACCTATAAACCCCTAACTTTGCATGAAAAGCGAAAAAAAAGAAAATAATTCTAATCCTTCTGGGAGAAAGGGTTGTACGATAATTGGTTTTTAGGTTGTCATCGTTTACTAACTATGTGTCTTAAGAATATTCTATAGACATTTGGAACTAATTGCACTATTTTCAAAAAAGATACGGACCGCCATTTTTCGGAGGTTATTCTCGATTTTGAATGGGAAGGGATAAACTTTTAAAATGTTTAGTCTAATAAAGTACCTTAAAGATACGATTTCTTATCTTAAGAGCTGCTACACGAAGAAATTGGTTCAGTGGTTTAAAAAATATCGTGGGTACAGATACAAAAATATAAAAATAAATAAATCACATCATTGTAAATACAACACCTTCTCAGCTATCGCATCGAAGCTAATATAAATCAAGCACGGTACAAACAAACACACTAAAGAATTACCAAAGTAAGGTCCAGTGTCTTTGCGTCGAAGCTTTTACTTGAATGTTATTTTATAATTTCTTAAACGGAACCCGGCGGTACCAACTTAGTTATCGGTTTTTTGTTTCACTCATCTGGTAGACTGGAAATAGAGAAAAATGTCAAGGTGAATATTTATGGTGTTCGTGCATAGGACACGGGGATGGATTAGTGATAAGAGGAATCCGACAATCCCTGGATAGCTGATAAGAGATTATTTATAAATTAAAAAAAAAAGGAAGAAGAAGACCGAATAAAGTTAAGAGTATCCACACTTCATGCAGATACATCAATACATGGATATGTATTGCAATCTAGTATCTCTAATATCTTATCTCTAATCTTTTATCTCTAATCCACTATCTCTATTAATTCACCTCCATAATCCATTATGACACTGTGACACAAAACGGGAAAGATAAATTTTCAGAATGGGGGGTCATTTTGATCATCAACAAATTAATTTGACTATCCTTATATATATATCGTTATATCCTTATATATCATAATATATCCGTATATATCTTTATATATCCTTATATCCTTATATACTCTTATATATCCTGCAACTTGATGTATCTGCATGAAGTGTAGATACTCTTAACTTTTTCTTCAGAATGAACCTCAGCCATAAGATATATCCATGTCAATAGATAAAAAGAGATGGTCAATAAGAATACCATCTTTGCGTTGAAGGAGACATTGGTCCATGAACACAATCTACATTTTAACTCAAATCCTTACGATTTTAGCATAATTCTGGACTCTGAGTCAACGCAGCTGAACAGGTGGTAATAAAACTAATACTACTTCCTAAACAAAACAACATACTACAAATACAACCAAATATATAAAATTCATTTAAATTATTTGCCAAGAAATCATTAAAAAAACAAGTACAGTATAAATCAAATATAGTATAAACCAGCACAGTAAACACGTATTGTATGTAAATGAGTAGTTGTAGTAAGTAGTAGTAAGTGAGTAAGTAAGAGAGGTATTGGATCTGCTGATTCAATCACAACCTGGAAATTGACTACAATCAAACTGTAATTTTCCCCTTTTTTTGGCTCCAGGAATTAGATACAGTTGTTAGTATCCATGTAACCAATTAGATAGCTTAATAATTAATGTACCCAGCCATACAATGTTTTGCCAATTTGTTGCCATAACTACTCTTTACCTATCCGAATAATCACACCTGAAGTTGACAAAAAGTGACATATTTCAACATAAGCCAATATGTACCAACCACAGATTGTTCAAAATTAAAAAAAATATATATATATATATATTAATTTTAGAAAAAAAATTTTTTTTTGCGATTATATTGATTAAAATGGTAAGCCGTAGGAAAAAACAGTCTAAATAGTACATGTCATATTATATACATATATATTGTTTGTAAGTACACACACACACACTGCTCACTGTCGCTGTCAAGGTTAACAGAGTATTATATTATAAGTACATATATATATATATATTTATATATATATACACCTCTACTTTGGCGAAAACCGACGACCAACACAAACGGAAACTGTCGTCTTGGTAACGACGGCCATTTTTTATATGTATATGTATATATATATATAATACAATAATTGGTATTTTTTTTATAAGTTTTTTTTTTTTTTGTTACACTTGTTGCTTATACCTCTCGAAGAGACCAGACTCGAAAGAATCTTTTAATTAATTTACAATCCCAACACCCGTCTAATCGTCTGCTACTCGTTTATTTATTTATTATTTTTTTTTTTATTCCACGATCCGTTAAGCACGGTGTGCGAGTTGGTTTTTATATATTTTTTTTTACCATGGGAAAAAACGCTGTTTACATTTATTATTATTATTGGGTATTTAAAAAAATATATATATTATATTACTTCACTTAACGCGTTAATACAACCTAAATACTATAATAACGCGATGCCAGCAAAAAAAAAAAACCATATTATACAGAGTGATTGTAGGAGTGGAAAACAAATGAGGGGAGGGCCGAAACCACCCCTTCCCCTTATGTACTTAAATTGCATTTGCATTAATGGTGTGTTTTTGTATATATTTTGTATTTATAATATAATATAAATTAATTATATAATGCAATATATATTACTATGACATGCTTATATGTATTTAAATTTTAAAGTGAATTTTTTTTTCTATCTCCATCTCTTTAGTTTTTCATCCCTAAATCCGACCCTGCGTTATTGAGTTAAATGACAAGACACTAATTTTCGCTTAAAACAATTGCAATTTTGCAGTTTTTCTTTTTTCGTAACATTTTAGTTTGTTTTTTTCTATAACATTATAAAACTACAAAATGTTAACCTTTCGACATGGATATGTCTTATGGCTGGGGTTCTTTCTGAAATAAAGTTAAGAGTATCCACACTTCATGCAGATACATCAAGTTGCAGGATATATAAGGATATAAGGATATATTCGGATATATTATGATGTATAAGAATATAAGGACAGACAAATTAATTTGTTAGGTAGGCACTTACTGACTAGCGAACCACGGAAATTGATTTATGAGAAATGTTATATATTGATAAATATAGCCAGTAAATCGATTATAGCCAGAAACTACTACAAAACGTTTGGCCAGAACATATAACTAGGACTATACTATCATCATATTATATCGTAAGGAGATTATAGATCGGAAATATAATAAAGTCAGGGCATATCCATGTGTTGATGTATCTGCATGAAGTGTTGATACCCTTAATTTGTTTTTATTTTTCCAGAACTCTGTAGACTTTTGGAACTTATAACGTTTTTATTATTTAAGTGCTTAAGTTAATAGAATAATTATCTGAAAACTTTGACTGGTCCATAAAGTTTAAGGCGGGAGTAAGGATGGAGTGCTACTTTTATCTAGTTTGACCGGTCATCATTTTCGGCAAATGATTCTTAATTTAAAAAGTCAATTAACTACAGCTACGTTACCGTTTTAGTTATAAAAGTTTATAGAGCTCTGGGGAAAAAAAATAAGAAAAAGATACAAATTTGAATATTGTAAAATAACATATTGAGCTAAACAGCTGTCTTTGAAAAGATAATCTACAATTAAATAGCAATCGTTTTAAGAGAAAATCAGTGAATTATCTTCAATAAAACACTCTGTATAATATAATGTTCATTAGTAGGTAAAATAAACTAAACCATTATCGCAAACGTGCCGCATCGGTTTTTTTTATTTTTTTCTATTAATTCATTACACGTCTCTTTCTTGCGCTTTCCTTTTTATTGCTTTATTAGAGCTAATTAGCTTATTATTTGCGCTTTTTATACGGCCAATCCCAACTCTAAATCGTGAAACATGTCAAAAGTGATTAAATTAAGCAAGATGGACATCAATATTATTATATCCAGAAGGAAGCCAATCAAACAGTTTTTATATCCCAAAAATAATAAAAATGTTAATATTTAAACGTTCTAAATTTTTAATACATTTTTTTGTCATTCGACGTTATTGTACTATAATATTTGTAAATTTTTCTTTCATAGATTTTTTTTTTTACAGAGCGTTGTGTTAATTTTGTTAGTTGATATTTTTTATTAAGGTATTTTTTCAATTTGTATTTAGATAAAATTGTATTTATCTTTATCTATAGTTACAATTTTTGATTAATAATCTAATATCTTATTTAGATACAATTTTGACTAATTATCTAAAATCTTTAACCACGTAAAATTTGAATTAAAAATATAATATTTTATCCTTATAACATTTCGATTAATAATCTAATATCTTTATCTAGATAAAACTTTGATTAATAATCTGATATCTTATCTAGATACAATTTTGATTAATAATTAATCTAAATCTTTATCCAGATAAAATTGTTATTAATAATCTATTTTTATTTCTAGATATAATTTTTATTAATAATCTAATATCTTATCCAGATAATTGTCTTTTGATTTTTTTGATGATAGATAATTTTGAATAACATTTCAATTATCTG